TATATATATATATATATATCGGCAGACTATCTGCACCGTAACTTACCCTGAAGCTAACCCAATTAGTATTTTCCTCTTCATAATTTACTGAGTAGGCCTACATCTATAAAATTCTCTTAAAGATTTAATTATAGCTACTTGTCGAAAGTAATGTCATGCTCTCTAAATCTCAGAAAAAAATCGTTATGAGATTCTAGTTGTGGGGCAGCCTTGGATATGAGCCCAGGACCTGCAATGAGAAGATGAGCACCTAATCACTACTCCACTTTATATATATTTTTAACAAAAAAAACGATGAATGTATAAATACAGGTCTCCCTCTATAAGACCACCTCCAATTAAAGACCACGTCAAATTGAACACCACTTTTCTGTGTTCCCAAATTAACAAATGTCTTTTATCTTTATCCTCCTGATTGAAGACCCAAGCTGCTAAAGACCATGAAAACCCCGGTTCCAAAAGTCAGTGGCGGATCCAGGATTTTGAAATAGAAGGGGCCCAAAGAGGGTCTATACTACCTCAGCCCAACTAAGGTTGGTCTGATGGAAGAAAATGTATGATTATGGCACCTCTAGATGGCTGAAAATGTCACACTTAGACTCAGAATTGGAGTATAATTTCTTTTTTCTTAATTTTTTTAAAACTTTGAAAAAGTTAGGAGGGCCCGGGCCGGCTTCCGCCCCCGCCCCCACCCACAACCCCTTGAATCCGCCACTGAAAGTGGTCTTCAATTGGAGGGAGACCTATATAGGTTATTAATAATAAAGATGATGAAGAGAATGCAATGACGATGATGATGATATCAATGATGATTATAATGAGGCTGATGATGATATGTAATCGTTTTAACAACTGCTCACGACGCAATTTTCCACTGTGTTTTTGCTTTTGTTTTTATTTGGAACTAGGCCAGGTCCTATACAACTAATTAGTAGGTCTCATATTCACCGCCCCGCCAACCTGGGAATCTGTCTGTGGACGTTGCACCCTAGTTGGTTGAACGGTTATCCAACATGACACTTGTCAGTGTTGGCTCAATTTCATAACCCAACTTGACACGGGCAAGCAACGCGGGAGCTAATGACGTCAGTAACTTGTGTAGATTGTCAAGTGAAACAGAATCTTGAACTGATGGAAGGCGATTCTCCATGATATATTTGCCAATTGTGTAATTTTATTTGTAGGTATCAGTGGTTAACCAGAATCATTACTACTGCAAGAGTAGTAGTAGAGTGCATACCTCCGCCCTGTGCTTGTATACCGAAAATACTCAGGCCGTCTATGGGCGATTCCATTATTTTCTATTATGCTCGAAGGTATGTTCAAGGGGTATATCGAATTTCCGTGACCTTGACCTTGACTTTTGATTTTTTTTCTTCCCAAAAGGTAATCATCTCTTTCTTAGATTATTATGTGCCATTCCACTAAAGTAAATGATGATCCATTTCTTAGTTTTTGCGTAATCTTTGGTAATAATCGTATAAATTCGTACGCCCATGAACGACCATATTTAAGCTTGATTGATGTTATACGTCATAGTACAGGTTTGTCTATTTGAAATGTAGTACTGTAAAACAAAATATATATTAATATGTCTATAGGTCTATTTTTATAATAGGCCCGCGTACCATGTTCTTGTTATTCGGGCGTGGTTCGTTTCCCGTAGTGTCTCTTCAATTTTGCTACCACCTCTTGTATTGACCTTTCTTCTCAAACAAACTATCATATATCTAAGCTCCCCTTCCCTTGATAGGCGACAGCGCACCACGATGTTTCGAAAAATATTGTTGGTCCCTCGTGTAAAAGCACGGATATACACGTTAAATAACGCGTTAGACTTATGACACTTTTCAGACAAGTTGGGTTACTTTAGTTTTATTTTCATATCGTACGGTAATCAAATGTTTATTTATGCGATGTCTCTCTAATTGAAATTGAATAGAAACTTAAAAAGTCGGAACAAAGGTGTAGAAGTACTTAAAATATAAAACAAACGTTGAAGCTAGGCTCCGGAGGAAAAGCCCTTGATAACGTCTAGTATGTTGTACAAATGAATTGTTTGATACACTGAAGTTTTATTTTTAAAAATAACCTAAAAAATAAACATAGGTGCATTATGCTGAATTGCGTCAATTTCGCAGTAACATATAAAGGGTAAAATCTAAGAAACAAGAAAAACGCCAATTACTTTTTGCACACATTTATAAAACCACAATCGATAAAAATGGTAAATTACTGTCTTAAAAATATTAAATAAAAATTATGAAATAAAGATTTAATATAAAAAGTCGATATTTTTATATTTACCAATTATGAAATTATTAGATTCATTTAAAATGAGATAATCCCTTTCGGGAAATTCTTTGCTTTCATACAAGCATTACAATAGGGGGCCTTTAAAAATATTATATAGGCCTAATAGAGTTTATAGTCAATTTTGAGTACGACGATAAAAATATACATTAGAATTACGACGTTACAACGTTAAATGGCTTAAAGTGTAAAGTTGATTTAAGTCATGAGAAAAAAATACATGTACTTGAACCAGCTTGAACCTAGAACCCTCAAGGTTTAAATGAGAAATTTACCACTAAGCTTCATCTCAAGTCGATAAATTTATCCCTTTAAATAAAAAAATATTTAGGTTTTTATGGTTCTTTTTTAGAGAGGCCTATTACCACAGACATTTGTTGACGTGCAAATAGCCCACTTAATGAATATTTCCCATCACGTTGCTGTCTTCCCCTGTACCAAGGAAAGAAACTCAGTGAAGTGATTTCATGTTGTAACATGAGACAGCATTCTTATAGGAAATGCATATAATTCTGGAATTAAAATGACATAGCATTAAATTATATAATTGTAACTTGTGTTGATATAGGCCTAACTGTAATGGCACATTAAATATATATATTCATTTGTAGTACTTATTGCTTCTTAAGAGGTTAATAAGAAGAAAAAAAAGATTAATATACAAATACAAGTTTATACTGATAAAAAACATAATTCAGCAAATTAACGAAATATGCTCTCGATTGTGGTTCAGAATATGATTTATTATTGCATATGTTTTTATTTCAGTTAAACCTTAACCTTTTGAATTTTTAATTTTGTCCTCGTTTCTGTTGTTGAAGAAAATTTGTTTTTGTCCTTTTCTCTCTTATAAAATATTGTATTGTCATGTACTTTATTTATGTTTCATTATATTAAATAAATGGAAATTGTTTTTATAATAATAGTTTGCATCTACCGTGGAAGTTTGTGTGACTGTTGGAATTGATACCTTATAACTCGATTGATTGTTCGATCATCGATTGATTGATTGATTGCTTGGTCGGTTGATTGATTGACTGATTGATTTGTTGACAGGTTGGCTTGTTGATTGATTATTTGGCTGGTTGGTTAGTTGTTTGTTTGGTTGGTTGGTTGGTTGGTTGGTTGGTTGTTTGGTTGGTTGGTTGGTCGGTTGGTCGGTCGGTCGGTCGGTTGGTTGGTTGGTTGGTTGGTTGGTTGGTTGGCTGGTTGGTTGGTTGATTGGTTGGTTGGTTGGCTGGCTGGCTGATTGGTTGGTTGGTTGGTTGGCTGGTTGGTAGGTTTGTTGTCTGTTTGATTGATTGGTTGGTGGGTTGGTTGGTTGGTTGGTTAGTTGTTTGATTGATTGATTGATTGGTTGTTTGATTAGTTGGTTGATTGATTAGTTGGTTGGTTGGTTGGTTGGTTGGTTGGTTGGTTAGTTGTGTTGATTGGTTGTTTGGCTGGTTGGTTGGTTAGTTGTTCGTTTGTTTGTTTGGTTGGTTGGTTGGTTGGTTGGTTGGTTGGTTGGTTGGTTGGTTGGTTGGTTGTTTGGTTGGTTGGATGGTTGGTTGGTTGGCTGGTTGGTTGGTTGGTTGGCTGGTTGGCTGGTTGGCTGGTAGGTTGGTTGGTTGGTAGGTTGGTTGGCTTGTTGGCTGTTGGGTTGATTGGTTGGTGGGTTGGTTGGTTAGTTGTTTGATTGATTGATTGATTGGTTGGTTGGTTGGTTAGTTGGCTGATTGATTAGTTGGTTGGTTGGTTGGTTGGTTGGTTGGCTTGGTTGGTTGGTTGATTCGCAGTTGATTGATTGATTTACTGATTCCTCATGAAACCAATGTCTTGAACGACTATTCTTAAACAAGATGCTATATAACCTGGGAAATCAGGGTGGGCGAGGATGGGACACAAACGTCTTTGCACATGTAATTTTAACTAACTATGCTGTTTTTCATTCAGTAATTACTAGTAGTAGTCTACGACCGATATTTTTGTAAAAATGCTCGTTCTCTCTTCTTAATAATTATTTTGGTTATTGTGTTTCATATTGCAGATACAAACGTGCCTTTACAGAGTATACATCACGGACTGTAACGTACCTCTCACGATGTAAACATCAATGGAGAGGCATTGTCTACTGCACCAAGTCCAGGTAAAAATATTTCTTACAAAATTGTGACACCAAATGAGCTTGCACTAAAATATAAGTCTTTGCTTCAGCCTAAACTTTATTATGAGTTTCCATTTTTAACATTTCGCTTTTTATTTGCAACAAAATTCACAATTTAATAAGAATACAATAATAATAATTATATAAATATTTAAAAAAAATAAAATAAACACTTTTCATTCCCTTCCTCGAGCATGCTAGCCTCGGAAGTTACAAACACAGATGTTCAGTTAATCGGGCAAAACAGTTATGAACAATAAAGAAATATATCTTATTTAATTTTAGAATTTAAAAAAAATTTCCCTTGGGATAGAAAGTGAGAGTGGATCGGACCAAGGTACTGGTATAATAACTACTTTTGGTAAAAATTAATTTAGAACAGGTGAAGGCAGTTTTGCATAAATTTTACGATGTTATTAAGGACAGACATATCAAAGTTTAATTAGGCCTATTAACGGCAATTATTTTATCCAATTGTTTTCTATTTGAGTGCCAGTCTTGTTCCTATTGATATTTTTGAAGGCCTTATATCTAAATAAAACGTGCCTAGTAACACGTGTTGGGAGGGAGAATTCCCTTCCTTGCATTCGAGGTCAAACGTCAAAGCCCATGGGATCTTGGTTTAGAACCTTACTTAATAAATTAGCGGAAATATAGATAATAATCCAAATCATTATTTATATTGGGTGATAATGAATATGTTCGACTTGATAACACGCTGCTTTCCTCCGGTTCCCGGTTAAGTTATCGTGCATAACCACATACTGTAATATATTGATCTTGCTTAAATACTAATAGCCATTTTTCCAATAATTTCACTTACTATTTCTACGTGCCTTTGTATCAATAGTACTGCAATAGTTGGTACAGCAAAGAACTACTTGACAAAATGTCTAATCAAAACTACTGTTGAAACTCTCATTTTTTTCTTATATATGTGTGTATATATATATATATATATATATATATATATATATATATAT